GAAAGACTCATTGTTTTTGCTAATAACACTGAGGTGTTGGCGCTTGAGTCTCTAATCTATATGTATCTAATTATTACTAGTCATAATTGGTTGCATTTGGGTCCTTGACACCTGTGTATGTCTATAAAGTCATCGGGTAGATTTCAGTTGTAATGTTTATCACCTCTACTAATTAACATGACGTAAATTTTTATGCTTCCTCCTCAAATATAATTCATTTTTTTAAATTTGTTGATTTTTTTGTGTGTGTAGTGACCCTTTTTATTAGATATAACTAATATGCAAGCCATTACTTATAAGACTTTTAACATTTCCAAGTAATAGTCAAACTAGACATCCTAAACCTTTTATTGTTTATTAATTACCAGTGAGATGTGATTCCTGAATGTGATAGGGATGAGGAAAAAAGAGGATGAGAAATAAAAGTCTCTAAAGTGAGTGAAGGATGGAAGCATACGTGTGTGTGTTACAGGAAGCATTTAGGAAGCAAAGATAGGAATTCTGCTTATGTGAAAATATTAAAATACATCGTTTTCTTTCACTGATACCCTACCTCCAGATGGTATGTGAGAATGTTAAATAAAACTAGTTTTTGCCTACATCCCCCAGACATACTTCTGTTAACACTCTCATTAAGTGTTGCATAGTCTTTTCTTTCTCTGTCAAACATGGAAAAGTCATCTCATAATTTCTTTTGGTCAGTTTTTATGCTGGAGCCAAGTCTGAGAACCATCTCCAGCCTTCCGTACCTCCTTATTCAGACCTTCACCAGCTAATGAATATTCTTGCTTCACAAGATCACCTTCCACAAGGATTGTTTGGATCTGATCATTTCTCATCTCAATCACTTTGACTTACTTCTCAGGTCAAAGAGAACTACTGATTTGAGTCTGAGTCCTTTAACAGGCCTTGGCTTATGAGTTCCCTTAAGTAGTTTGCTGATCCCCTCCTCAACCCCAATTTGTATTTTATACTCAGGCCAAGGTACTTATCCCCATTGGCTTTCACTGAATCACCTCATGTGCCCTTCTCCTTTGACACATGATGACTCACCTAAGACTCCTTCAGATTTTCAGTTCTTGCAAAAGACTTGGGAAAGCCATCCTGAAACATTTGTAATCCTTGATCCTCTAATGCTTACTAAATATTCCCCTCATTTTTTCTCATCTTTGATTTTTCTTAATGTTCCTGAACACAGTGTTCTTATCAGTCTCTCTTAAGTATGAATATAATAATATAGTTTACTATTTGCTAGTCTTGTCTCCTATTAAGTTGTAAATTATTAGATTATTTTCCACATCCTCTGGGGTCTGAAATTTTCACATCATTGGCATTTAGAACATGTTGTCACCTCTCCTGTTGAGTGACTAAGCCTTAACTCCTGCTCCTTGTAAAAAAAAATACTACCTTCAACTTAGATGTTTTGTCTTTGTTACGCCTAGTGGGTAGCATGCATGAGCATAATCCTCCTTTTGAAATAAACTGATATATTTCTGACATATATTTTTATCCGTGAATTCTTTTCTGTTATTAGGATCTAATTCTATCTGTAAACACTGTGAGCATGTGTAGCCCTCAAATATTTCCCTAAATTAGTATCATTATCCACCATCGTATGCTTAGTGAATATGGAGTATATTATTCCAGTTCTAAAACAATTTTTCTCACAGTTTAACTTCTGTAAGTATGGTGTATCAGCTAATGGTATTTAAAATCACTTTTTCTTTCCTATTAGTACATAAAAATAATGTATGGTTTTTGTTTTACAATTTTTGGAATTTTAGCTTTGATAAAGTATGGTAGATACTCAATAATTAAGGCTTGACCACGAATTGAAACCATGGTTGGTGCTACTGTGTTGGTCAGATACAAGTGTTTGGCATTCTTTAAAATTAGGAAGCCAGTTCATTCTCAGTGCAGAGATAGAGACCCCATGGTTTGAACCATACATAAAACAAATCTCTTTGACCTCTTCTTGCCATTCAGCATTTGCCATGACTATCAGTAAGACCATCTTTACCTGCCTAAATGTTTTTATAAATACAGAAAGGAATTTTCTGGAAATTTTGCTCAGTCACATGTAACAGCAGGTTATTAACAAATTGGGTATTCCCCCCAAAAAAACGTTGTTTCTGTCCTTTCTAGATCCTACTTCTAATTTCACTTGTATTTCAAGTATGAATGGATGAAGGAACGTGCGCTAGCCTTTAAAGTCAGATGGCTATATATAACCTAGTGAGAAGAGGTCAGTGTAGTGTAGAATCAACAGACTTGTGTTTGAATCTTGACTCTACCATATTTGCATGTTCCAAGTGTAACCTATACTAAATTCTGCTAGTGCTCAGGATTCCCAGTACTGTTGCTGTTATGTTATCATACCATGTCTACCACTATGAGCTTCAGGCCTCTGAAATCTAACCCAGTACTGCTGTAGTTCACCTAGTGCTTCTACCCAAAATGGAACAAATTAAAAAGAACACTTTTCTCCTTAAAAGATAGAAATAAGCTGGGAGCTGGAGAGATGGTGCAGCAGTTAAGGACACTGGTTGTTCTTGCAGAAGACCTGGGTTCAAATCCCAGCACCCACATAGCAGCTAACAACTGTCCATAACTCCAGTCCCAGGGGATCTGACAACCTCTTCTGACCTCCGCGGGCATTGCACAACACGGGTGTACTTACCCACATGCAGGCAATACATACATACACATAAAATAAAAATAATAAGTAAAATTTTTTTAAAGTTAAAAAAAATAAATAATGTGAATATCATAAAGATGTGTCCATTTGCCTTTTCCTTTTAACATTACAAATCTTCTTAAGACTAGCTTTGAATTGAATTCCTGTAAGGAATGTAAGTATTCAGATGAATTCTCACTTTTGAGTCTTTTTTCCTTTGTTACAAAAATAAAAATCATTATCATTTTTCTTTAGAATTAATTAAAAGGCAGTGGGGCTGGCTTTGATACGAAGTGCACAGATGTGTTTCTACAGAGTATATGTCTTTGGCAGATGAGGTTTTTTTTTTTCTGTGATGTTCTGTTTATTGCTTCCATAAATACTCTATTGTCAAACATGACTTGCTGTTTGTTAGCAGTGCTGGCAGGAAGATTCCTGTTATCGTACCATTCATATTACCCATACACCCTGTCACTTTTAACTTGGAATTTTAAGAGAATTGCCTTTGGTAATTACTTAAGCTATTTCTAAGTTTATTGATCCCCACCCCTGTTTAACTGAGTGAAGTTTGAGTGGTGTTTCCCCTGCCCAGAGATGGATGATTTTGAAAAATTGTCAGATCTGCATCTTTAAATGCAAGAGAAAATTTGCTGCCTATCAGCCCTGATCTTGTCCTTCAGCATGCCCGAAAACAAAGCGCACTGTGTCCTTGCTGAGAGCAGTGCATGGAGGGAAACATGTGAGAGTCTATTAGGGGGCACGCACATGTGCTTCCTGTGTCACTATAGTGGCCACTTTGGAGTCGGACTCCAATCTAAGTCATATCAACTATCTGGGAAATTATTTCATTTTTTTCTTAGTTCATGTCCTCTTAGAAAAGTGGTAACTGATACTACCTGCTTCATGGAGGTAGTACTGATTACAGCTAGTACTGATTCTATAAGTTCTTTGCATCCTTATGTCTTTTTCCCTAATTTATAATTGGTAAAAATATTTGCATCACCTAATCTTCTAAACAGCTCTGCAAGGTAAGTTGGGCATAGATGTCATCTTTGTTGGAGAGAGTCACTAATGTTCAGACTGAGTGTATTTACTTAGACTCATCCAGCTGGCTGAATTGTGTAGGTTTCCTGACTTGTGTCCCAGAGTATCTAAAATTTAAATTGGGTTTTTCAGTGTCATTATACATATTACAGAGGAAATGTGATAAGTTCTGTTTGAAGATAACTTGAAAGAAAGGAGCCAATGTTTCTGTTATATCACGAATGGAGCCAAGTTAAGATTGTTATAGCCTTCAAGATATAAGTATATAGGGATGACCAAGATGTGCTCCGGCAGCAAACACCTGAATGTGGTAAAGGAAGAGACAAGTGCAGAGTGAGTAAGCATGCTTAAAACCCACAGCAGCCAGCTGTAGTGGCACACACCTTTAATCTTAGCACTGGGGAAGCAGAGGCAGGTGGATCACTATGAGATCCGAGATCAAGGCCAGCCTGGTCCACATAGTGAGTTCCAGACCAGCTGGGGCTACAGGTAGACCCTGTCTCAAACAAACCAACCCACAGCAGACTAGAAATTACTTGGGCTTTGTATTTATGTTTATGGTCTTTCAACTTTCTTCTCATTTGTAGTTAATTGTTTAGACGATAATGTGGTACAGGAAAAAGCGTGGTCTTTGTAATCACGCCTCAGTTCAAATTTCAGCACTGTCAGCCTTTATCTGTGTAATCTTGGGCAGGCAATTTAATTTCTCTGAGCCTCTGTTTTCAAATCTACATAATACAAATAACAAGTATTATTTAATACTGTAATTGTGAAAACTGCTTTCCATTTAAAGATTTGAGAAATATTGGTTCCTCTAAGCTGTCTTTCAATACTTAATGGCATGCAGTTTTCTGTTTCCTCCTAACTGGATTTTGATTTTAGATTTCTACTGAGTTCATTGTTTCTTAAAACTGAATAATTTTTTCTTGATAGTCTATTATGGGTCTTTATAATAATTTTATTATGAAATAGCATTAAGTAAAAAGAAATTCTCAGCTTATGCCCAAATGTAAAATGGGTCAGTTTCAATTTTCTACTATCAAAGCTTTAATAGTAAAAGGTTCTTGTCTTAATTATAAAAGTCATTCTTTCTTTCCATAACTAGAATATGTATAAGATGGAAAAGTAATTGCACTGCTTAATAATGGATTATCATTCTTAACAAAATGAAAGACATTTCTATAGGAATACTCTTATGAGTATTTATTCTTCATAAGTGGAAACTAGTCCCATTTTAGTTGTGTTATTTTATGACTTGTTGCATGTATATTTCCCCAGATTCCTTAACATCTATTACCTATATCCTTTTAAAAAAACTTGTGAAAATAGATGCTGTGAAATTCATGCTGAAAAACCACATGGTAAGTCTTAATGATTTAATGAGTAGAATTTTCTGGATAATTTAGGTCAAGCATCAGTAACTTCATTATTCTTTTGCTTTGATTAGAGTGAACACTTTCCTTTTCTTGGCATCAGTGACTTCAGGTGCCGAACAACCTTCTACACAGCCCTCACTCGCCTTCTGATGGTAGATCTAGGTAAGGTTATGAAGCTTAATTAATAAGGGATCAGCAGTTACCTGTATGAATGGAGGAGTGGAATACTAGTAAATACGGCATCTCACTTGTTAGAAGTTGCCATCTTTGACAGTTTTCTATAATTTTTTAAAATTTGCATTTGCCTGTTAGCATCACAGCCAAAAGATAAATCTTTGTACTGTTTTTGCCCTGATTCTGTCACCTCAGAATTTCCTTTCTTTGGGGCAGCAGGATGACTCTGCCAGGTAAAGATACCTCCTGCCAAGCCTGACAGCCCGAGTTTGATCCCTGAGACCCACACGGTAGAAGGAGTGAACAGCCACCTGCAAATTGTCCTTTGACCTCCACATGTGTATTGTGACATTCGCACACACACGTAGCACACATACATGCACAATAATATAAGTAAAACAGATAAATTTTTTAAAATTTCCTTTTTCTGTATCCTTTGACCCATTAATTTTACGTTTGCAAATCTAGAAGCTGGACCTGGTGGTGCAGGTCTGTAATCCCAGATACCCTGAAAGCTGAGGCAGGATGATCACAAGTTCAAGGCCTGCCTGGGTTACACAATGAATTCAAAGCCAGCAATTTGACAAGACCCTGCCTCAAAACAATAATTAATTAATTAAATTAATTAATTAATTAAAATAAATTTAAGGCTAGGGATAGCACAGTGGTAGAATAATTGCCTGTGATGTACAAAGCCCTAGGTTCAATGCACAGCACTACAAAATAGAAAGAAAGGAAACCCGGAACAGTCTCAGGAAAGTTTTATAGAGTTGTTCTTATTTTACATCAGCACCTGTGCATGCCCATATTTTCAGATTTTCTTGCATTACTTAGTCTTTGTTTTTTGTTTTATATTTTGTAACTTATTTACCATGAGTGTCTGTCTGTCCGTGTGTGTCTGTGTGTGTGTGTGAGTGTGTGTGTTGCTTGTGTCATATATACAGGTCAGAGCACAACTTTCAGGAGTTGGTTCTCTTCTACCAAGTGGATCCCAGGGATCTAACTCGGGTCATCAGGCTTGGTGGCAGGTGCCTTACCCACTGAGCCATCTCATCAGCCCAGGAGGAATAATTTTAACTTTTGTTGTTATGAGACAGATCTAATGTAGCACAGGTGGGCCTCAAACTGGCTAGAGTCAAGGATGAGGTTGAAGTCAGTCCTGATCCTCCAGCTTTCCCCTCTGGAGTGGCTAGGATTATATTAAAGTCCTGTGTGCCTCTACCTCCCCATTTTAGGCAGTACTAGGAATCAAGCCCAGGGCTTCTGGTATGCTAGGCCAGCACTCTTCCCACAGAGCTATATCCACAGCATTCTTGCAATTTTTAACTCTCCTAATATTTTGAAGGGTTTTCTTTTTTTGTTTGTTTTTGTTTATGTTTTTGTTTTTGTTTTGAGATGGTCTCATGTAGCCCAAATAGATTTTGAACTCACTGTGTAGCCCAGAATGACCTTGAACTTCAGATCTTTCTGCCTCTACTTCCCACGGCCTCACATTATAGGTATGTGAGGCAGGCCTTGAACTTGTGATCATCCTGCCTCAGCTTTCAGGGTATCTGGGATTACAGACCTGTACTACCAGGCCCAGCTTCTAGATTTGCAAAAGTCAAATTAATGGGTCAAAGGATACAAAAAAAAGGAAATTTTAAAAAATTTATCTGTTTTACTTATATTATTGTGCATGCGTGTGTGCTAGGTGTGTGTGTGAATGTCACAATACACATGTGGAGGTCAAAGGACAATTTGCAGGTGGCTGTTCTCTCCTTCTACCATATGGGTCTCAGGGATCAAACTCGGGCTGTCAGGCTTGGCAGTAGGTTTCTTTACCTGGCAGAGTCATCTTGCTGCCCCAAAGAAAGGAAATTCTGAGGTGACAGATTCAGGGCAGAATCAGGCACCACTGAGTCTGATTGTGTGTCATGGTAGGAATTAAATTCAGGGCTCTGTGCATGGTGGGCGAGCAGCCTACTGGTGCTAAGTTTCTAGCATGGTGGTGGTGGTCCTGGTGGTGGTGGTGTTAGGGACATTTAGACTGGAGAAAAATGGAAATGATATAAATATCCAACAATGGAATTAAAATTACAGCACATCTACTTACTTACAGAATGGTCTATAATCATAAAAAGTGATGTCTGAAGAAAATGCAGTACATGAAAACTTTATGTTATTAAGTGAAAGGGTAAGAAATTACACTTAGCTAATAGGATGGTCTACATATTGAAAGAAAGTATATCAAATAAAGGCTTAAATGAAATGGGTTTTTTATGCTAAATAATTACTATAACCATTGTGGAAAATGGCATGGAAGTTGGAAGAGCCTCCAAAAATTAAAAATAGAACTACCACAGGAAGTTGTAATCCTGCTGCTGGATATATATATCCAAAGAAATGGAATCATGTTCATTGCAACACTATTCAGGATACCACAAAAACAGAAACAACCTAATTGTCCATCAATGGATGAATTAGTTTAAAAAAAAAAAGTCGTATACACTGTAATACTATTCAGCCATTAAAACAGAGAAACTCAGCCACTTGCAGCTACATGGAGGAACCTGAAGGGGGTTGTCTGAAGTGAAATAAAGGTGCAGAAAGACAAATACTGCATGATGAGCTCACTCGTGGGCAATCTTAAAAAACTGATCTCATAAAATTAAGAGTAGGATGGTAGTTATTATCAAAGGCTAAAGTTGGGAGGCAGTGTGAAGTGATGTTGGTCATTAACTTTGACACGAGTAGTAAATAAATTCAAGAGATCTGATGTATAGTGTAGTAGCTGCAGTTAACACGGGATTGACCATAAGCCTCATGCCTCCTAGGCACTGAATTATATCCCAGTTTATTGAAAAATGCTTTTTAAAAGTATGTCTTAAGTATTCTCACCACAAAAAAGATAACTGTACTATGATGCTAATTATAATGCTGGGTTTAATGTATATATGCTTGAAGATTTTATGTTGTACCTAGTAAAGTACACACAGTTTCCCTGTCAGTTTAGGGAAGAGTAACTAAAAATACTAAATTTTGACTTTGGGTAGTAAACTATAGGTAATTTTTTCCCATATCTGATTAGTTGTGGGTTTTTTTTACATGGTTAAAAAATACCTATTTCTGATTGTTTTAAGAATTTTATTTTTAACTGATAGATAAAAACACAGACATAGTATATATTACCAGAGTAACATGTAGTGTTTTGAATACTATAGGATTGCACAAAATTTAATCATGTTAAATCTATCTTTTCTTAGTTTTCTTTTCCCTTGATTTTATTTTTGGTAGTGTTGAGGCTCAAACCCAGGGTCTTGTGCATGCTAAGCAGGCAGTCTATAACTGAGTTCTACACCCAGCTCAACATTAAACACTTATCTCCTTAACATTTATAATTTCTTCATGGTAAAAACTTTCTGCTGGGCATGGTGGCGCACGCCTTTAATCCCAGCACTTGGGAGGCAGAGGCAGGTGGATCTCTGTGAGTTTGAGGCCAGCCTGGTCTCCCTAGTGAATCCCGGCCAGCTAGGGCTACAGGGAGACCCTGTCTCAAAGAGACCAAAAAAAAAAAAAAAAAAAAAAAAAAAAAAACACTATTTTCTTGTAGCTTTCTGGAATGTCCAGTATACCATTGTCATCTATACTAATCCCACTGTGAATTAGCACATCAGAACTTCTTACTCCCATCTAACTACCTGAATACTCATTGAATTGATCAGCCTTCCCCTATTCATTCCCTCTCCTCCACTGTCCTCAGCCTCTAGTAGCCACCATTCTTACTGATTTTATGAAGTAATTTCTTTCAGATTCCACATATGGGGGAGATCATGCAGCATTGGTCTTTCTGTACCTGAATATTGCACTTAACACAGTGACCTCCAGTTCTATCTGTATGTCTCAAATGACAGCAATTCATTCTTTTTATAGCCAAATATATTCTACTGTGTATGTACCATATTTCCTCCATTCATTCCTTGATGAACACTTGTGCTGGTCCCATTTATTAGCTGTTGTAAACAGTGCTACAGCAAACGTAGTGCAGGTGTCTTTCCAATGTACTGATTTCATTTCCTTTGGAAATATATCCAATAATGGAATTGCTAGATTCTATGATAGTACTATTTTTTAATTTTTTGAGGTATTTCCATTTAAAGAGGGGGTTGTTTTGTTTTGTTTTAGGTTTTTTGAGACAGGATCTCACTATGTAGCCCTGGCAGGCCTGGAACTAACTATGTAGACCAGGCTGGCCTTTAACTGACAGAAATTCACTAGCCTCTGCCTACCAAGTGCCAAGATTAAAGGTGTGTGCCACTATGCCTGGCTTCATATTGATTTTTATAATGATTGTACTAATTCACTTTCCTGTTAACACTGTGCAAAGATTCCATTTCCCCATATCATCTTCAGCACTTGTTGTCTATAGTCTTTTTTTTCCCTTAGATAGCCATGCTTTTGAGAATGAAATTATATGTCACTGTGGTTTGATTTTTATTTCCTTGATACTTAGCATAGAACCTCTTTTCATGTACCTGTTGGCCATTTATATGTCTTCTTTTGAGTGATGTCTTCTGAAATGTAGTGTCTTGTAGTTTAAATGAGATTGGTTCTTGTGTTTGAATTTTTCCTTTTTTTAATTAAATTTTTGCAAATTTCATGCAATGTACTTTGATTACATTTAGATTCCCTCCCATCTCTGCACCGCCTTTACCTACTCCCTGCCCAACTTCATGTACTATACATAAATATGCTTATGGAGTCAAATTTTATGTCCCCAAATCCCCTTTGGTGTGGCTCCCATGCACTGCACTGTAGCCTGGTTAACCTACCAAGAGTCACACTCTTAAAGAGACTGACTTTCCCCTCCCCAGAAGCCACTAGTTTCCAATAGGTAGGATTGGGGTTTCTTACCCATTTCCCCACGTCTGTGCTTGGATTTTGTCTGGCTTGAGCTTATGTGGTACCTCTGCATGCTCTAACCATTGCTATGAGTTCATACTATTGAA